CAATTAACAAGTCAATTAGTTAATTAGTTAAAGTTCTAAATATTATTGGCTCAAAAATAAACTCCTTTGATAATAATACCCTTTTGAAAATAATGCATTTAAAATGTTTAAATATTTCTTTTATTATTTCATTATTTAAGTTTTTAAAATTTTATTTTAGTTTTGTTATAATCTCTCACATTTTTGTGATATTATATTTATAATCTCTTACACGTTGTAATATTATATTGATGACCTCTTACATATTTGTAATATCATATTTATAGTTTGAATCTCTTACACATTGTGATGTTATATTGTTAGAATAATTTAATAAATTGAATTTATAATATTTTACTTGTCTATAAACTATTGTCGTAATTATTAAATACATATTAAATTATAAGAAGATTTCTTAAGTCACTTTTTAGCTGACTAGTAAATTAAATGAATACACATTACCAACCTTTAGTTATTTATCTTATCTCTTCCACCTGACTTGAAACATGTGTTGAGCACGTAAGAAAATATAATATATTTAAAATCCAAGTAAAACGGTGACAATATATAATTATCTTTTCTAACATTTTTTATTAGTATTTAAACTGTATTTTACATTTTTATTAATTTATATTAATAAATTGCATATTTATTGATTTGTATTATTAATCTAATATATATTTCAGAAATATCAATATTAATAACAATATTATAAATACAGTCAAATCTTTCTATAGTCACACCCGTTTATAGTTACACCTCTCTATAGTCATCCTATTTTACTTTTCCATTTACATATAAACATAGTAAAAAAATCCCTCTATAATCACATTCCCTCTATAGTCACCAAATTTTACTTTTCCAAGGGTGATGACTATAGAGGGATTTAACTATATTTTTTCATATTATTTTTTTTACTAATTGCTAATAATAAGAATTTCATAATATAAATATCTATTAAAATATTATTAATTCTTAATGAAATTACTTTATTAAAATATAATGATAACAAAATAATAATTTTAATATAAAATAGATATCTAAAATTCAGAATTAATTCAAGAATTATATTAATAATTACAAACTATATTATAATTTACTTGAAAATATAATAATTAATCAAAATAAAAAACAATTATTTATATAATTTTTATATTTTTGACAATTGATGCATAAATATGATCAAATATATTTTTTATTTATTGAACTAATAAAAATATTATGAATTATAAATAGAATAATTAATTGAAAGAAAAAAATTTTTTAAATTATTATTAAAGCATCTTTGAAAAAAGTGTGTTATAATACTCATAACTTGAATTAGTGTTCCTATAAACTAAACCAAACTGGACTTTTGCTCAGGTTCAAGTTCGATTCAAAATTCGAACTGAACTCAAACTAGACTTTGGCTTGAGTTCAAGAAAGATTCAAAGTTCGAATTGAACTCGAACCAAACTGTTATACAAGTTTGAGTTTGATTAAAGATCAGCATATAGTATCATATACTGATTTGTAGCTCTAAATATAAGCTACAACTTTAAATTTATAGTATTTAGAAAGAATTAGAAGTTTATATAGTGATAATTAAAGTATTTTTATTTTTACATTTATTAAATTTGATCATAAATGCTATATAACTCTCTGAATAATTATTATTAATAATAACTATCTTATACCAATTTGTAACTTTTATTTCTGGTTACAACTTTACTTATAACTGTAGTTTATGATTACTATAGCAAAATAAATGTTTATTATACTAAAACTAAAGCAAATTAAAATCATAATAATTGAAATTATTTATTAAATCCATATAACTTCTTAAATATTCATTCTAAATATTAACTATATTATATCAATTTGTAGCTCATATTATGATCTACAACTTTACTTAGAACATCAACAAACATTTACTTGAACTCGAACTGAACTTTTTGTCAAGTTCGAGTCTGGTTTGAAATTCGAACCAAACTTGAACCAGACTTTTAATTAGGTTTGAATTTTGAACCAGACTTTTGGTTAGGTTCGAGTCTGGTTCAAGCTCGAACCGAACCAGACTTTTTTTCGGAACTCTAACTTGAATATCTTTTGAGTTTCATTTTATAAAGATGTGAATTTTCATTTATATCTGTAGCTTTATATAAAAAAATAAATAAATAATATAATATAATAAAATAAAATAAAATAATAATACAAGAAATGATTAAAATAATTTTCTAATTTGCATGATTTTTGTAATTTTCTAATTTGTCATAAATTATAAAATTAACAATTTTTATGTTATAAATATAACAGTATATTAAAATATTTTCTTTATTAATTTCTAAATCTAATTGGATTTCTATATATTACATATATTTTGATCAAAATCAATTATCATTATCAATCTTTCAAACAATGCCTTTTCTGGATCAAGATCAAATCTTATCGATTTATAGGGAATGGTGAATATGTGATGCGTGTTTATTACAGTGTTAAATGTTGATTTATTGGCGTTATGGTTAGGTTAGAGTGTAGGACTAAAATATATGTGAAATTGCCTCCCCGACGTTTTTAATTAGTGCTCCAAGATAGATTAAAAGCATACATTTTCCATTTTTTTACGTTCGTGCTTCGGATTTGTTTTTCCGAGTTAATCAAAAATTTACGTATTATTATTGGCTTGTTTCACGGACAGATCACCGGATCCACCAGGCCTTAGCCAACCCGATTTATGGTATAATTAGCATAATTTTATTGGATGGTCACACCATATACATGTATGCGTGTGAGTGCTCGATTTCTAGTTAGGGTTAGTTTGATGTGTGACCGGGAATATTCTCATCAAAAAGGAATCAATATGGAAGATAAAAAATTGAGATCTAAAAAAATGTCCGCTGTCGTTAAGGAAGAGAATTCGAACTTGCCATTGTTAAGAAGTTGAGAGAAGACGGAATTGAATACGAGCATACAGGGTGAGTGTTTCTCGCTGAGTTACATGTCGAATCGTCGTGTATCTGAAGGTACGCTGCCACATCGGTGTAAATTATCTGGGAATCGAAAGCGCATCGTGGCCACGGTTTCGACCGTGAACGTTCTTCCCAGTTTCTCGATGTCTCGTAATGGTTATGCCCTGACGGGATTTATGGTGAATAGGATACACGAATTAACGAATCGAAAGCTCTTCGTGGCCGCAGTCACAAACGACTGCGAACGTTCTTCTTGGTTTTTTGGCGATGATAACGCATGTACTCATATTTTTATTTTATCGTTTATAGTAGACCGGGTGACAAGGGGATCGACGTCAGAGGCGTTATTGCCAGGATCCCCTTCGTGATCCAGTGTAAGAACTGGATAAAAATACATTCGATAGGTAATTAAATTATTCTTATTGATAAATTAATATCAACGATTAATTGATATTTTTGTGATTAATAGGTCGCCCGGTCGTTTACGAACTAGAGACGGTGGTTCGTAGACAAGGGGAAGATACAATAGGTGTCTTAGTGGCCCCTTCAATAGAAAGTTTCACACCTGGTGCGATAGAAGCGGCTGAAACGGCCGTGTACATCATCCTAACAGATAAAACACATGTAGTTTTAGATCTCTTTCGTTTGATCAATCAACGATTAGATGAAAGAGTTTCTAAACTTCGTTTTTATTCGTTCTATATATTTTTACAATCTCTTTTGATCTCCTCTCTCGTTACCTTTCTTGTACATATTTTACTTCTTGTCTATAAACTGCTAAATCTTTAAGATGGTATCATTACGGTCGTTTTGGTTTCCCTCTTTTTTTATTCCTTAATACCAATCCACCAGATTGTGGTACAAGAATTTAGTGATTGGACCCGTTCAAAAAAATGCGACCCAGGTCACCCGAAGGTTTAACTCGCGGAGCACCCAGGTAAGAATATTACCCGTTAAATTATGAATTATTGCGGTTAGGCTCATATACGTAGAATTTCGCACACCCAACGTGATTCTCATGAACGAAGTCACAGGTTATGACTAGTTACTTGTAGAGATGTTAAAAGTCCGATCTGGTTCAACTCGACTCTAGAAGTTGAGTTTTAATTACAGTGGCCTGCATAAATAACGCACCACTTGCATCGCTAGTCGTTGATCACCTGATTTTAACTCACATGCAATCCGATGAATGCAAAAATAATAGACAAATAACATCTAATACTGTGCTACAAATGGTAAATAAACAGAGACATATTATTATGTCAGTT